TTCTTCTTCTTCTTCTTCTTCTTCTTCTTTTTCTTCTTCTTCTTCTTCTTCTTCTTCTTCTTCTTCTTCTTGCACAGATTCAACACCAATTACAACTTTTTAACGACCACATCAATCGCTATGCTGCATCCATACACAAAACGTAACTTATTTATTCTGTTTTTTTCTCGGAGCTTTTTTTGCTTTGTTTTGTTTTATTTCGCTTTTGACCTTTTTTTTTTTTTGCTCTTTGTACGAAGATAAAGAAATCAGTCGAGGAGATAAAAATGTGTTGTTGTTGTTGTTGTTGTTGTTGTTGTTGTCGTTGCTGTTGCTGTTCTTTTTCTTCTTCTTTTGGAACAAGATCTTTCTGGTCCGGGGAGATGAATCAGGATGGACAGTGGTCACTCTCCCAAACACACACTACAAGCGAACTCCTGGTGAAGAAAAATGTAAGAAGAAATTGTTTAGTATAAACATTTAACTATCTAGAAATATTTAATTAACAATTCACAAACATTTAACAATTCATTGACGGTAAATTAAGAAATCATAAATATTAATTAACAATCCGTAAACAGTAACCCTATCCGTACGTCGTGTTTTACTATTGTATCCATACGACGTGGGGAACTCTGTGCCATCTCTTTCCAAAGAACATAAAGAGGAAATTTACTCGTTAATCCGATCCGTACGCTTTGCATAGCACTCTATCAAAATGATTTTTGAGAAATACTGAAAGTTTCAAAGAGATCTTCGTTCCAGTACTAGAAGTATTCTAAAATGTGAAGAATACAACTCCGGGGGTACAAAATGACCCCAGGGCGTACGGATAGGGTTAAATTAACCATTCATAAACATTAAAAACGTTTAACAATTCATGAACATTTAACAATTCATTTTGCATCGGTCTTGACATCTTTTTAGGTAGGTGGTTTCACGCCCGGCTGGGCAAAGAATTGCTTTATTAAAATCCGGATATTATTATTGTTAGTGCACCTCCTCGGCAAATGTTTTATGAACCGCTTCGACAAATGGGTTAGAACCACTTCGACAAACGTTTTTAGTTTTAGTAGAGATTTTACGGCGCTTGCAACTGCATAAGGTCATATGAGCGCCAAGGGGTGGGTGTCAACAGAGTAGTCCTTGCAGGGAATCAGGCTTACTCTGCTCACCTCTCTAGCTTCAACAGCACAAAGTCTGCTTCGACTATCAAGGCACCCCGGAAATAACAGGTCACAAGAGAGTGACAAACATACAAAAGAAGTAGAGAATTATGACAATAGTAAGGATTAGGAAAGAAAAAGCAGCAGTTCCCTGTTGTAGATCAGGCACAGATATGAGTGTGACATTGATGAATCAGCCAATTTACAATTCTACGGTGCATGAACGAGAAATGCCCCCCGTTTGGGAATGGCCTA